TTTCTTTCCAATATTTTAGGGCATCATCTTTACATGGGCCTAATTTCTTTTGCTCTGCATTTTCTCCTTGTTATATATAGAATAATCATTTGTTATTTTGAAATTGGGTGTTTTCTCTATGTATTTTTAAAGCGTCCATCATATCTTTCAATTTTCTTTCCTGTAGCTGTTTTAATTCTTCCATAAATGGTTGTTTTCCTTTCTAGGTCATATATTTTGCATAGTCTGGCTTTTACTTTTTTATTTTTAAGTTTTGAATCTTTCAAGTGTTTTAAGTTGCTAATGTCTGCACATAATTTATTTTTTTCTTTCCAGTTGAATTTTCCATTTTGGAGTGCCAAAAGATAATTATTTCAGATATTCACAGCTCCCCCCAAAATGTAAACAAACTCTTTTCCAGAGGCCTGGAGTGAATTTTTTCCCCAATAGGAATCAATTATTCCTACTGAGTTTATAACCCCAGGATTTTATAACTTAAAATCTGGCAAGCTGCCCCCATGACCAATTGCTTTGGTTAAAATTCTGTAAAGCTTGGAGGACTAAAGGCTTATTGCACAGGATCTTGAAAAGCAAGAATACGGTAGCTCCCAAGATATTGGAACAACAAAGAATGCAAGCCATAGGACCTGTAAACACTATCTCCGTATTTATATATTGCAATATAAACATGTTCTGCTGTCAGGATATTATAGTACAGTGACATTATTCAGATGCTGGGCTGACTTATTGTCTTGCAATGATTATACTAAACTTTTGTTCAAGCCTCAATAGTAAAAACACTTTTATTTTCAGGGCTGCTGCTTCTATACCCCCTTGATTTTTTTAGCACTCTATACACACAAAATTTAACATCTTGATAAAACTGGCCCCACCTCCTCCCAAGTCTGCAGAGATGCTGCTTAGAAAGAGATCTGCAGACTATTTTTCTAGCACAACAATACGAAATAGGGCACACTGCCAATGGTTCATAATGAAGCCAAAGCCTGACATGAATGCAAGTGGTTCAAGATCAGAATATAAGCCACACACTTGAAATTCTAGATCCCTAGGCCAGTTATTAATCATTTAAGCTTCTTTTTTTTCCTTCTCTACTACCTGCTGTATTTGCAGTAATCCACAGCCTCTGATTTTTTGTGGTAAATATAACGTGGTGGCACTGCGTTTAAACCGCAGAAGTCTCTGTGCTGCAAGGTCAAAAGAACTGCAGTCGTAAGATCGAATCCACGCAACGGAGTGAGCTCCCATCACTAGTCCCAGCTCCCACTAACCTAGGAGTTCGGAAGTATGCGAATGCAAGTAGATAAATAGGTACCACCATGATGGAAAAGTAATGACGTTCCGTGTCTAGTCGCGCTGGCCATGTGACCACGGAAGATTGTCTTCAGACAAACGCTAGCTCTATGTGTTTTAAAAGGAGATGAGTTGGAAAAGAAGATGAGCACTGCCCCCTAGAATCATGGACACGACTGGACAAATTGTCAAGGGGAACCTTTACCTATAATTTGTCCACATCACTTTTTGGATGTAGTGTGTGATGCATGTTCATTAGTTTCCCTGTTTTTCGATCCAATTCTTCAAATTAGTTTTGAGTCCAATCTATTATTCCAGCTGGATATCTAATTACTGGAACAGCCCATGTGTTTATGGCTTTGATTGTATTTTCACATTTAATTTTTATTTTAAGTTTTCCACAGTCTTTTGACATACAGTGGTGCCTCGCTTAACGAGGATAAACGCGAAATCGCTATAGAGCGAAACCCTC